TAATCTTACCCTCTCCACAACTCACACTAACTCTTTCCTCCGCGCCCAGACTCCGCGCATAGAAGCAAGAAGACCGTATTTCCCATGTTTTTTCCACAATTTTCTTCCTTTTTTTCTCAACTTGCAGTCCTCTCCATCCCTACTTCTATATTTGAGTGATATTACCACGTCAATTTAACCCTCCTCATCGCTCTGCGAGGCAGAGGTCGTGCACTCAACCAGCAACAGAACTGTATCACCTCTTTACGTCATTATTACTGTCCTTACACATTCACGCCGATGGCCGCCCATATGGGCTGCCAACAACATGTGCTCCTGGGACGATGGCAGCCCATATGGGCTGCCAACTGATAATCGCTTGCCAGGCGCTAGGAATGGACAGATAGGTGGGCAAACCTCGTAATCGAGTGTAAAATGCTTTTAAATTCCTTCACGGGGAAAGTGAATAAATGCTCTCTTTTCGTAACCACTATTGTCGTTCTGATCGAAATCCTACTGTTATATGTTTAGATAATCTTTACGCATTGGACATTGCAGAAATTATTTTGTGACATTCATGTTTTTGTTCATTTACAAAACAAAATCTGCGGTTATGTGGTGAGGCGGCGGCGCCCACAAAATCGCGTCCGTCCCACGCGACCGAAAAGTGGAAAAGGGGCGTCGTCGTGAATGTGTTAACAGTACGTGGTTGGGCGGCTGGTGTCCGTTCCCGACAGGCTTACAGTACTACTGCGGGACTATGCCATTGAGGATGTGTTTGTTAAGTAATGAAAATATTTAAGGTTTCATGAACCTTACCTGATTTTCGCGTTCTTTTATGGTGACGTTTTTCTTCACCTTGGCAGTGTTTTCGAGCACATCCTTTACATTGATACCTTAATGGTCACGTATGTTTTAATAACATTCTATAAGGCTTCCATATATAACGCACGGTGCCGATAGAAGCAGAAACGCTAAATGCAGCGAGCTAACACTGTGGACACCCATGATAGTAGCGATCAACCTAAACATGTAGAATTTAAACAAACACAGTCCTTATAGGTTCATAGGTGGAAAGGACAGAAGATCCAGTGAACTCAGGGCTCATTTTTGAAAATCGAACAGCTTGAAGGAATCCTTCTAGGACAAATCGTGATTCTATTCACCCATAAATCACTGGCTTGAGACCCATTCTCCACGATAAGAACGAAAAGAACAAAAAATTTGTTTTGGTAAACAATTCGAAAAACCGGAAAGGCTGCTACGCGTTCAAATTCCCGCCGGACATCTGTCACAAATGCTGGCGACGGGAATGCTTCCACTTGGTTCTCGGAGTGCCGTCACTAGAAACTCTTTCTGGCCTTTTGACTTATTGCATTCACATCTCACACTTCTACTGCATCCTCTATCGATCGATTTGTCTCTACTCTCCGAAATCGCAGCTTTAACCCTTTGACGACAATGCGGATTTGCACGTAGCTTGCTCATGGGACCACGCCTCTTTTTGGCGCGCCCAACTCTCGCTCACAATTGGGCAAAATTGTCCCTCAAAGCAGTTTTTCTATAGAATTGACTTTAGCAGTAACCAGATAAAAAAAACATTTACAATTATGGTGCAAAGCGTGCGACATATGGGCAAAGGGGGCGAGCGGCTGCGGAGCGGCAGGATAGGCTGCTGTTGGCACGTTGTTGTATTTTGTAGCATGCTTGTGTGCTTATGTATAATTATGAATGGATTACGGTAACTACTTCACCACTATTGAAAGATAGACATGGAAAAAGCGCAGCGTGAACTTTTCAATGGCTTGTAGCATTTACATACAGCGTTATCTCTCTCGATGAAATCCTCATTAGGATGTTCGTCATCCGGCAAGAAGTACGATCCTTTAATGAAGCAGTAGGTCTCCGCATATCTGAAAGGATCAAGTTGGAGTTGACCTTTTCCGAGAGGAACGTTTCAGATCTTGAAATAAGCTGCTTCAAAACTCACTTCTCCCAGGCTCCGGTGAATTGTGCAGGCACCCAGCACTGAAAAATTACTCATGCTATAGATTGAAAATTAAAGCTTCGTAGGGACTTGTTTATGTTAAATGTGTCGGAAGCGGAAATCGGAAAACGGAGCGTTTGAAATGATCACTATTTCTGACGCGCAGCACTAAGAAGCTAGAGCCACACAGCTGATTCTATACGGCATACGGGCCACTAATTCAGATCATGACTTCCTTTGGCTTTCATTAGCGTAAAATGGGAAGAACTTGGTGAAGCCTACTTAACTTTCAATTTTCCAAAAGCGTCTATAGAATTGAGGATCGGAATAAGTCCAGCTAAAGAAACAATAATAGATTGATTAGATAGATATATAATAGATTTTTTTTTCAGAAGCACATTATGTAAATTCCTTCTTAGGTTATACAACTACTCGCTCCCAAAAAGTAATGCTGGCTTCGGGAAAGACTTTCATTCTTTTCATATTTTTTCTCGAAGACTGTTAACTGTTAGTCAATCATAGTCAAAACAGTGACAAACTACAGACGATATCCTCGAAGGGGAGGGGTGGGAGGGTCTGCGTGCTCCAGGTTCAGTCACGCGAGTTAGAATTCGCTGTGCAGTTCCGGAAAAGCAAGTGAATTAGAATTTAAAGGCCGTAGGGATTTCTTGAGAAGATTTATTAGCGTTTGGAAGAAATTATAATGAAATTCAGACTCAGAAGTGAAGAAATTCAGACCAGCTCCAGGTGGGAGGTATGTAGGATGGGAAAACTGGAAGTAGAACCTGGAGTCAGATAAAAGTAGTGGTACCTTACTAGAGGGGAGAAAGTCATACGAGGAACTTATGTAGCATCTATCGTAGGGAGTCCTTTAGTTCAATTTCCATCCATGGATGCTTTACTTTGTACAAGTTGTTACGGCAGGAAGCACCAGCTAGGCGATGTCAGGAGTTTGCGATCGACTTGGATCGGGCGTTGCGCCAGCGAGTCGAACGATGTACCAGCGAGTCGAACTAGGTTTCAGCGACTCAATAGTGGCGGGACTCAACTTTCAAAGGGGGCCGCCACTTTCAAACAGAGTCCACTGCCAAGTCTCGCCACTCGAGCCATTGCGTTAGCGATCGGCTCATTCGCAAACCACACCTGACAGTCCGGCCTAAGGTTATTTTGACAGGTACATTAAGTCACAGTATGGGGGAAATGCAGAAGCAGGACTTTTCACAGAATTTCGTAATGCAATGAACGACTTAATGCGTGGCATTTGTGCTGATAACAAGTTTGTTCGAGTTTTTTCGTAAGTCGATGAACAACATCAAAGTCATCGGCAGATACTTATGACTCTTATCAAAGGAGAAACTGCAGCAATGATAGCCTGAAAAAAAACGAGACAAAGGACACCTCATAACTATCCATGATACATACAAGAGGGAACCTCATTCTTTATTCTAGGCAAAAATTAATTTTCTTGCTCATACATTTCTTTTTTACCGCGAATCTATTTGGAACATGGAGGAGCTAGTGTAAATCGGAAATGGCTGCTCCCTGCACATTGCACGGGTTGAATCCCGGATACTGCTAGTATATGCAACAATGTCCAAGCCCATTATTTGCCAGGATCGCTAGTTGATGGGGAGCTTTCTGGCGAAGAAGAAACATCGAATGTCCGCAAGCTTACGGAGATAAGATGAAAAGGAGATGAATGTGTGGCGCACCCAAAAGAGAATCAGTCAACGTTAGAAGCTTTGCTCACTAGCTTTCATTAGCGGACGTCTTCAATATTTGCCGATTATATTTAGCGTTCTAAGAGCGGCACAACTTTGCTCTAACTGGCCTTCATTACATCTGTCACTGATGACAACAGATTCCAGTGGGGCGTTCGAACTACTGTAATGAGTTCTGCTCCAAGGGATTCAGCAGCAGTCAATGAATTAATAGAAAATGCCTTCAGTAAATTGAGAGCGGAGGCCATCTTTCGAAGACGGAGAAATAAATGAATAGACAAAAAACAGCGAGCTAATAAGCTAGCAGCAGAGCTAACCATTGCTTTTTCGCTTTTTCCTGTTCCAAGTGGATCTTTATAAAAGCTAAGATTCAAAGGAAGATTCCACAGTATTGCATTAAAGGATATGCCCTCAGCGACCTAGCCGGATTTCTTCGCGGCGCGATTGGGCGCTATTGGCGTGGCACGCCCATCTCTGCGTCGTCTCATTTCTGAGTCTCTAGCTGCTTAGCAGAAAGAGCGCTAGTGCTGAAGAGGGCAACGCCAATGAGAGTCGCAGCAGTGCGCAAATCAGCGGGCAAAGAAGGTGTGCCATTTTCGGGTTTGAAGCCATTTTTCCGGTTTTTTCTTCTTTTGCGCATCGCTGATCATTCTCTATTATAAGTGTGCGATTTTTAATCGTAGAATCCGGCGATCGCAGCTTTGGAGTGACTCTGACACTCGTGAAACAAAGGACGGTCGGGCTTTCGCTTCAGAATGAATTCCGATTCCGTAACAGTGTGAGCAAGCACTTGCTAAAGGAAGATGATCGATATTCCAATTTGAATTTCGTAAATTCCATTCTGTTGATGACCAGGTTTCCAGTGCGCTGTCATGTTTTCATAGGTGGTGGGACATTTCGGCTACATAGTATTGACAGCTTACTTTTTTGAAATCAAACTTCTGGAAAGAAGGTTGCGAAGAGTGAGTGTCATAGCAGATACTTGGTGTTCGAGTGGTTTGGTGAGTAGTCATCCGCAAAGTACTTCTCAAGCTTTCACAAAATTTACCAGAGTCCAATTTTCCATTGGTCCAAAAGACTTTGCTGTATTGATAATGATAGTACTGAACAGTATCATGTGCAAACATGTGAGAAAAGAGTAGAAAAGGCTAATAAAGGTGGATCTTTAGAGGAATTATAAAAAATGCAGTGTCGAAAGGGGCGGATGAGGAAAAACCTATGGGTTAATTCTCGTAACCTCTGCTTATTGGTAGAGCGCGAGAAAATATTGGCCAGGAAATTAGGTGATACAACGCACGCAGTGCAGCCTATAACTGATTGCTTATATCATTTCACAAAAGCAATTCAATTTGAAGAGTAAGCCAACGAATGAAGCTCTCCTTCGTGTAGAAGAGTGCGACATAGCAACAGTACTTCATGTAGCTATGTGACCGGCATCGAAAAAAAAATCGAAAAATTGTTTGAAAAGTTAATAAAATATTGAAGAGAAACAATTTCAAACTCCAATAGGGAACGTCATGTGTGGTATGTTCTTCAAACACATGACGTCACCACAATAAAAACAACATTTCAAACCTGAATGGGTTTTCCGACATATTGGGTTGCTGCCAGCGTAATGGCGCCCAGCGCTACCAACATTGGCCGTATACTGGTAATTGAGTCGGTCGATCAGGTCATTAGACTGGTACGACCTGAAATTTATTGGCTTGTTGAAAATTTAAGAAATGATCAGAATTTTCCAGTGTGAACAATGGTCTTATATTTGAATTTGTTGGCCCGAATTTTTGGCAGCTCTCTACCGTGACGTTGGTTGCACCCACTCTAACTCTGAATGTTTCTTTTAGAGCTCAAATGACATCGCCATTCAGGTTGTTGCGATCTGAAAGTAACTTGAGGGGTGCAACTCTGTTTCGGTTCATCAATGGAAGTTGAATGTGCTTAGCAACTTTCACAAAATGCTGGTTGTGACAATTTCGCCCACAGACGGGACTCGAGACCCGCACTCTTGTTTAACAGGGCCAAGTGCGCTACAAGTCCGTTACCGAGCACCAATCATCCCAGCTGCTCCTCTCATGGTAAGTGTACATAGCTTCGCCGCACTACGATATAAAGTGTGGAGGGCCGGTTAGCCGAATCGCAATGGACGACGACTGAAAGGTTTAGAAGCTGGATTTTGACTTGGTTTTTGTTTATACACGTTATACGTGTGAGTGCTGACAAGCTATGGTACATACCATGAAAGCTGAGTTGGGATGAAATGGTGCCCCGGTAGCGTAACTGGTAGCGCACTTGCCCGGAAAGCGAGAGGTGCGGGTTTAGAGTCCCGTCTGGGGCGAAAGTTTTGTTTCAGGACTAATCGCATTCTAGAAAATTCGCAAGAGGCTGGCAGCCAAAACCAACACTTAAACACAAAAACAAGACAAAATTTCTGGCTACAGCTGGCCTCTCATGTTTATCCAAATGGTGTCAACAATTAGTATGGAGACGAGAGCACGTGCGCGTTTTTAGGGATAATTGCAAATGCGAATTATCCATGTGCGATCCACATTTTTTGGAATGAGAAAAAATAATGGAATTCCTGGCAGGGAGTAGCAAGTCAACGGCATCCGAATATGAAACTGAATTTTTCAAAAAACAATTGCATAAGGGTCAATAGTTCGAAGAACCACATTGAGAGGTCGCGAGCGTTTTAGATCTGAGCGATTTCTTGGTTTAAGGGTGCAGGAACTGTGAATTGCTAGGGGTATGAATCTACTGAATAACGGTGCACCGAGTGTACATAGGAATACTGTAATAACTATTTGCACTGACCGAGAATAGAGAAAAAGTACAAAACAGGTGTGAGACTTGTGAAGCTTTGAATACCGCCCACTTTTTACCTATAACTGGTCCTAAATTTTTAGGGATAAGGATTCCAAGTGGTGAAACGAATAGATCGCTCAAGCGCTAAAATCCCTTATAATTCCCGTTTCGTCAGTAATATTTGAACGTAATGGAATTAGCTCGTCCGAGAGGTTCATAATCACTAAATAGCGGGTCAGAGCCATGATAGTCCTTCTAAAGGCTGGTTTCCATTCATAGCCAATGTGGCCACATATGTTTGATCGTAATTCCCACAACAATGGCAACACGGTCTACAAACATACCGAAACTCTCGTATAACCGTACCTGCGTATCTTACTGACATAGGGGACGATCGCGCCGATCATCCTTGATCAGAGACCCCTGGAAATTATGGGTTAGCTGGATGGGATGGTGATCGACGACGAAGAACGATAAGTTGAACGAAAATCTAACGGACTAAAAATCGTGTAAAAATACGTGATCAACGTGCCGATGTGAAAACATGAGATAGCCTTTGAAAATATAACGTTGCAGCGCTTTTTTCTCATGAGATGGCTTACATGATATTGCGCCGATAAACAGGAAGTCAAAGATGGTGAAGAAAACGTAGAACTGAAAATGCTGAACCAAAAAATTGCTTCTGATGTGATCCATGGCAAAGAAGTGGCCAAAAATTCACTGTCAGCCTCTTGGTGTAGTTCAGGGACAGAAACTGATGTTAGTTAAAATGCTGATGCTGTGATGTCGTAGTCGCTGGCCAGTGATGCCTCCGCTGCCGACGGAGGCCGTCGCCGGCGCCGTCGCATCATGTAATCGCATTACAGATCACTACGGGTATACGAAAAAATCAATAACCCTAACATCGTTGATTTTAGTCATCTACCAAACTACGGAAGCCCCGACGAGGTCTGACGGGCAGCGATGTCGTCGGTGGTGGTCATCGTTTGTCATTGTCTGTTTGACAATCGTTCGGGTGCAATGCATGATGCATCGGCTAGCCGACAGTTGCGGCTACGTGGATGTGTCATCTGAAGCAGCAATGATTGTGAGGTGTCCTGCTCCTCTTCTAGCCCTGGTCGAGTGCTACGAAGACAGCGAACCCGAAATTGGCCGCCGTTAGAGAAGCGATGATTCTTTTAGACGGACGATGAACAGACGGGGGACAAAAAACGAGGACTGTGAAGAGACAACTGGTGAACAAAAGAAATTCTCCCTCATAACAGAAAGGCCAGCAATACAAGAACGATTAAGGAAAACGAGGCAAGTATC